ATGAATTTAATTCTGGTTCCCCCCCCCCCCCCCCCTTACCCCTGGTTAGCCACTCCTGGCGGAAAGAGACCAACCATGAGAAAGATAATGACACATAGATGACGAAAAGTGGCCTTTTTGTCGTTTGCGATGCAACATTTCGCCATAAAAAGTGAAATTAGCTGTCGTTCAATTAGGCTTGCTCGAGTACTGTCCCCCAGTGTTGCCGGACATCGTGCCGAAATTATGCCAGATTCAAGACTGTTTCGACCTTCGTATCGGCGTCTGGATCTTCTGTTTTTTAATGTACCAGACATTTCTGTGCCGAGTTCACGATTTGAGCCGAGAATGAAGCAGTGGTTAGCAGATATTAATCGATGTGGCGGGATATGGAGAATATCTCATCCGGACAACCCTGAATGACATGGCGCGCGCCATGGATTCCATGCTTGCTGGAGGCATTCGAAGCTCAGGCCCGTTCGAGACGGTCCGAGGAACTCCAGATAGGCCTGACGTTGCACGTCCGCATTGAAATGGTTCGTGAAACAGGCCTCGAATCGGTCTGACGTTGCACGTCCTCGACGAGATGTCTCGAAGATCAGGATTCACCCTTATGGGCCTAATTGGCCCCGTAAGTCGAGAATCGAGTTTCTTCTTGAAGAAAAAAAGGTAGGCCTTGGCGTGACCTGAAGGCAGTCTGCTGATCAGGCCTAGACCTTAACGTTAATGAGTCCCGTAGAGAAGGATGGGGAGATTGAAGAGGGAAAGCCATTGAAAACTGGTTTTCACATGACTCCATATACCATTCGGCCAAAAAAAAAAAAAACGCGCACCCTGCGACGGGGAGAGAGGCCCCAAACCCACTCCAGGACGACAGCCAAAGAGAAGAACCGCTGAAATCCAAATCCAAATCCGTTCGCGTCTAGAAAGATCCCACGAAGCGCCATTAAAAACAGCCATCAGCGAAACAAATCCTCATAACCCCGTCGCCTCGATCGCTTTCGAGTAGCACATGGCGCAACGAAATCCGAGTAGGCGTGTGGAAGTAGGCTTTGTTGGGGGAACGCCCTCAGACCGAATATCTCTCTACGCCCCCTTCTCTGCCCCCTCTTTGCCCCTCTGCCCCTCTCTCTCTGCCCCCCTGTCCCTCTCTCTGCCCCCCCCGGAAGTGTGAAATCACGTCTCACCCCCCCAGTGTTCCGGCAAGGCGACGTGGGGAAATCCTGGTACATCATCATCCGCGGATCCGTGAACGTGGTGATCCAGGGCAGGGGCACCGTCACCACCCTGGGCGAGGGCGACGACTTCGGCAAGCTCGCTCTGCTCAACGACGCTCCCAGGTCTCTCTATTTTTTTTTAAATCTCATTTAAACATTTCTATATTCGAATTCTGCTTTTATCTGTGTAAATACTTCGTATCGAATGATGTTTTCTCTTCGATATCAAGATGCAATCGGCCGGAAGATTGGAGGAATAAATTAGAAAAGAAAGGATTTCTTTCGAAAGCATCGAAGGTCCTTATCGGAAAATATTGAAATATCAAATGGAATTCTCTCGGGAATCGAACAAAAAAAAATCGTTCGAAAGATTGGAAGAGAGTGGGAGTCGGATGCAGATTGAACGGAGATTGGATGGTGAAAGAGATTTCTCCTGGGACCCACCTTTGAACTTTAATTACTCCTTTTATCTCTCCTTCATCCCTTCTAAGGGTGGGGGGGGGGGAGGGGGGGCTCAAGGACTGTAATCGGATAGGAGCCGATTCCCTATGGGAACCAATTCCCGATGTCGGGAGCAGGTGGGTCTGCGGGGGACAGGGAGGGGGAGTCCGGTTCTTTATTTGCCCACTGGGGAAACAAGAGGCTTGGAGAGGGTGTCTGGATGGGGGGCCGTTGGGGTCGCCTGTAAAAGGGTCGCCTGGGAAGGAGACACATGTGAGGCATGGAGTCTCTTGTTACGGCTCCTGTTTCTCCAACCGCATTTTTTTAAATCGATTCTCCCGCATATTATTATTACAGTATAATAAGTACCTGTCCCGATAACGATAATAACGATGTCTTAATGACGGCGATCAGGGCGGCGACGATCGTGCTCCGCGAGGAGAACTGCCACTTCCTCCGCGTGGACAAAGAAGACTTCAACCGGATCCTCCGCGACGTGGAGGCGAACACCGTCCGCCTGCAGGAGCACGGCAAGGACGTGCTGGTGCTCGAGCGGGTGCAGGAGGCGCTCGACTCGCATCACAGGTCGGTTTTCTTCCCTCGCGGGTCGACGGGTCGGACCCGGCGTCGATCGAACGACCGACCGCAGGTCGCTACCCGTTAATCATGTCATGCGTATCATTAGTCATATACCGCTCATAAGTCATGTATCGCTCATAAGCCACGTTCTAATGATAAGCGAGAAGCCACACACGCCAACGACACGCCTCGCCCCTCCCAGGTACTCCGTGGTGGCCGGGACACCCGGGAAGATGGTGGAACACCTCCTCGCCACCCGGCTGGGGGAGTCGGTGGACTGCGACGGCGTGCCCTCCCCGGCGTCGCCCTCCTGCGACGGTGACGTCACGACCACCGACCTCTTCCTCGACGACTTCTTCCTCACGCACGTCCTCTTCATGCCGCCCTCCGAGCTCGTTTCGCAACTCAGGGAGCAATATCCTTTCCAGTTCAATTTTTCCCCGAAGATCTTAAAATTTCGTTTATGAATTACTTAAATCGTTTTAATAAAACAGTTACATCACGTTGATGAACTATTTTCCTCGAGTTAATGAATTATTTGCGTCACATTACTGAATTATTTACATCACGTCACATTACTGAATTATTTGCATCACGTCAATGAATTATTTACATGACGATTTGGAATTATTTAAATCACGTTAATAATTAACCCAGATTTCTTCAATCCTACCCAGAATTAACTTCAGCGTTATAATCGTGCATCGTCCAGCGCATTATGGAGATTTTCCTTGACGGGATGCGGGCACCTATCACCAGTGCGACGACGAGGACGATCCGGAGGGGAAGACGAAGTGCAGGAAGAGAGTGGTGCACTTCGTGTACGCGTGGGCGTCGATCGTGCAGGATCCGATGTTCCAGGAGTCGTCGGTGCTGATGCTGGTGGAGGAGGTGGGGCGGTGCCTGAGGGAGGACCTGCTGGGGAGGCCGGGACTGGAGCTGGAGGAGGAGAGGAAGCTGATGGAGGAGGTGGAGGACGCGGCGAGGAGACACGCGGAGGCGTGGGCGTCGGAGGCGGAGACGGTCGTGTCGGGGATGGGGGTGGTGCCGGTGGGGAGCGCGAGGAAGTGGAAGCTCCCGCCGGGGGGGCAGCCGATCTGCCTGTTCAGGCCGGGCAGTGCGTCGCAGGAGGGGGGGGACGACGTCGCCGCGGCTGCGAGGATCATGAGGGCCACCGACGACAGTGGGTTCAATCGCTTTTCGACTCCCGAGGGATCGAGCTCTCTGGGAAACGCGCAGAAAATTTTGTCGATTCGGGACGAGAAGTAAAATCTCAAACTTCGAGCTAAATTTTTTCTCTCTCGAGTTGGAATGCAGACAGAGAGTGGGTCGGCGGAGACGAGATACGCACGCCTCTTTTGCATATTCACATTCTTGTTTTTTTTTTCATTATTATAAATAATTTGCAAATATATTTCAGAAAGTCCTGAAAGAAAGTCGGGATAGGCATCCCCACTCTTAGTTCTTTCGGATCGATTTGCAGACGAAGACGTTGGTTGAAACCAGAAACGGCCCTGACTGTACTGCCCTGCCATCTAGCGAAAGCATGAGAAAGCCTGAATACCGAAAAAGGCGTATGTGAGCCTTCGCCCCTTTCCCAGAGAGCTCCTCTATTTTTTTCTGTCTGCAAAAGTGGTCTCCGGTGGGTCAGCCAGTGACCCACCGGTGCCCCCGTGTCCCATGACCTCCCGAAAAAAAAATCCTTAGCCCCCATTTAATCAGAATTTTCTTCCATATCAACAAAATATTTTCAGTCATTATTTAAAAATCATTTGCAGTCATCTTCCGGGTGCACTGCGCCGACCACACGTACTGCACCCTCCGCTTCCCCCTGGCCGCCCCCGCGGATATCATCAAGCGGTCCGCCGCCGACAAGCTCGGCATCAAGCAGGACGACCTCCTCCTCGTCGAAGTCAAGTCCTCAGGTCTGACGCTGCTCCGTTTCTAAATAATAAAATAAATAATACAACGATTTTAAATTTAAAAAGTTTAATACTGATTCGTGTAATTAAATTAAATTTTTTATGTCTCCAGTCAGTGCATTTACTTTTATGAGTTAAATTCGAACAAACCGAATTGAATTAAATTATTACGTGTAATTAAAATATGAAAATAATGCATGAAATATTTGAATATATTTGAGTTATCGACTGAAATGTAAAAATTTTTATGCATAAAAAAACGAAATTTGATCGTTTCTCTTCGGGCTCGAAGGAGAGCGCGTGGTGATCCCGGAGCACAGGACGTGCGTGGCGACGGGCCTCAGCCTCAACGGAGCCCTGTTCATCTCGCCCAAGGAGCACCTGGATGCCTTGGTCCGTTCCGGTCCGGATCCGGAGGAGGGAGGGGAGGGGGAGGTGGTCTGATCGGTTTCGTTTCCCCGATAGACGCCGGTGACGGAGCAGCTGGAGGCGAACGACCTGGAGGGGACCTGGAGCTTCCTGGAGGGGGCGAACAGCCAGGAGTTGGCGTATTGGATCACCCTCACCGATTGGGAGCGGTTTCATACCATTCATCCGGTGAGTGGGGGTGATTGTGGTCTTGTGAGGTGGGGAGGTGGTGGAAGGTGGGAGGGGGTTGAAGGTTGTGGAGGGGTCTCTGCGATGACTGAGCACCCCAACTGTTTCATCCTCATCATCTTTAGTGTAATCTGTTTTCCCGGCGGAAAGTTAGAAGGGCGGGCATTCCATGCGAGGATGCATTATAAATGTATTTACTGCAGAGGAGGAGGAATAAGAGCCACTTGGCGACGATGATCTAATAAACGTGGAGATGCGGGGAGCACTTCCCAACTTGAATGTGTTTTTTTTTTTCCTTTTCTGTGATTTCCTTGGAGATTTTTTGGCAACTTTACCATTTCCAAGGCGAACGTGATGTTCGACAGGAGATCGCGAAAGTCCCACGCTAAAAGCCTCGCATTTGGAGATGATCTATTCACGAGGTCGAGGATGATGTGAGGGGGCCATCGGGGAGTTTTCCGGTCGAAATCCATTTTCCCCCTCCCCCCCTCCCCCTCCTCCCCTTCTGCTGAAAGTGATTAGAATATACATTTTTTATGATCCGATTCGATTCCCCTTTCAGGACGGAAAATCCCCAGGGCAAAAGAATGGCTTGAGAAATAAATGGTTTTTTGCTCATTCACTCTTAATATGCATTCCACCTGATCGGCGTCGATTAACTGCAAAGTTGACGTCACGTCAAGCGCCTCTGGAGAGGCACTTGTCGCATTTCGTTTTCCCCGCGTCGCTTGTGGCCCCGCCAGGAAAGATATTCGTCGCATTTGAATTTCCATGTCGCATTTGCAATGCAGATCCCCGCATTCGACTGAGAGAGCCGACATCCCTTCAATGGCCGACATTCCCTCAATAGACTGTAACGATGGGGATCTCCCGTTCGAACTTGGGGGGGCCCCCCCCCCCCCCCCCCCCCCCCCCCCCGGGGGGGAGGGGGGGATCCACGGCGGGATTTCCCTTCCGACATGATTGCATCGGTGCTGCGTCGCATGACGCTGCCTCACTTTCACTTAATGCTTCCATTCTATTCTCTCTGCCATCCACCCGATTCGCGCTGCCATCCACCCGATTCGCGCTCCCATCCACTCGATTCGCTCTGCCATCCACCCGATTCGCGCTGCCATCCACCCGATTCGCGCTCCCATCCACTCGATTCGCTCTGCCATCCACCCGATTCGCTCTGCCATCCACTTAGTGACATCCCCCTTCACCCGTTGCAGTACGAGCTGCTGTACAAAGTGGCGGAGACCGAGTCAAACCTGACCACGGCCCAGTGCACGGCCAACCTGGACGTCTTCCTCCGCCGCAGCTCCGAGCTCCAGTACTGGGTCGTGACGGAGCTCGTCCTCTGCTCCAATCTCTCCAAGCGGGCGCAGCTCCTGCGCAAGTTCATCAAAGTGGCCGCACAGTCAGTTTCCCTTCCCTTTTTCAATTTTTTATTATTATTGTCGTCTCCGCAAACACGATCTGATTCTTGAACATCGCAATTAAAAAAATTAAATTAAAGGATAAAATAGAAAGTACTGCATGCAGTTGATAGGTGCTACATCGTAGAGCAGAGAAAAAAAAGTAAGGATCCTTCACCCACGTTCACTCCGTCTCGTTTCGTGACGTACAAATGCAGATTGTACTCAAGAAAGGATCTATTTTTGGATCGAACTCAGTCATTATCGATATATATTTTTAGGCATCGCCGGCCGACTAACGAAGAAGCAAACGCCACACAGAGCAGAATCATCGGCGGCCTCTTTCCTTCTCGAGAAAACCCATTAAAAATGACTTTATAACGCTTCGAACTCGATAAGACGTGTAACGAGCTTTTTCTTCAACGCTCCACAGAAACCCAGACGATCCGATAAAAATCAATTCCAGAAACCCGAGACCAAAAACTCCCCCCCCCCCGGCCTCCCCACACTTTCACCCCAGCCTTTCTGCCCCCTCAAACAGCTGCCAGGAATACGGGAACATGAACGCCTGCCTGGCCGTGGTCGGGGGCCTGGGGAACGGCGCCATCACGCGCCTCACGCACACCTGGGAGAAACTCCCGGCCAAGATGAGGAAGGTCTACGCGGACCTGGAGGCCCTCACCGACCCGTCCCGCAATCACCGCCGGTACCGCGCACACCTCGGTGCCCTCCAGCCTCCCGTCATCCCCTTCATGCCTCTCCTACTCAAAGGTACGATCTCGATTTATGTTTTATATATATCTAAATTATTCATTGAACTTATTATTTATTGTCAGTTTTGCAAAAATGTCATGCATTACATTTATTTACATGGATTCATTAAATTCATATAATTTTTATTTATTGCATTTACTCAATACTGTGATTTCATCGAGCAAATGACAAAATTGCATGGGACCGTGTCGTTGGCAGACATGACCTTCGCCCACGAGGGGAACCAGACGTTCCTGGACGGGCTGGTGAACTTCGAGAAGATGCATCTCCTCGCCGTGAGCCTTCGGATGCTGCGCGCCTGCCGGGCCAGGCCATTCAGTCAGTTTCCTCGCCATTTAAGGACTGTTACTTTCAAGAACGAATGTCTCGGGCGGGAAGGGGGGTTTGGGTCGAAGCAGAGAAATCTCGTCACGCGTGTGCCGGTTTTCCAATTCGATGCGAAGAACGTTGGCTAATGTCTCTGTGCATCGGGGCAGGAAAAATCGGAATCGGAATTCGTGAACTGCGCAGGTATCAATCGAGAAATTTCTCTTTTTGGTATCGAGCATATTATAAACTAGCAGAGGTACCTAGCGTTGCACTGGTGAATATTGTATACTTCCCATATTTGAGGGCTTAATATTGCTATAATGCCTCTTTGGCAAACCCGGCTAAAAATTGTTTTAAATATCTAGCTTTACTACACAACCAATTGCTCAATTCCAATAGCAAGCGGCATGTTACGACTCAAGTTTGATTTTTTTTTTAATGAGCCCCCAAAATTTTGACTCCTTTAGGAGTAAAAAGGGAGGAGCGAATCGCCCAAATCTGCACTAAATAAGGTACCGCGGGGGGTCGGAATTTTGAAAAGCCACCTACCCTATGGCCATCCCCGGACCAATTGAAGCCATGCAAAGTTTGGTCGGACTGGGATCAGAGGCGTGGCCGTGCATAAAGGACAGACAGACAGACACACACGCAAACATTCTGAAGTATGGTGTAGATCAGGGGTGCCCAAGTTTTGGGCCTGGGGACCGCATGACCTGTAGTGTGTGAGCTCGCGAGCCGCAAAATTGGAAACTTGCTTTATTGCATGGTAAATATATATAAAATTATTATTATTATTTTTTTTTTTACCTAATTCAGCATGCTGTTTAGCCGGAGTGGACCTCATTTTCTTGCCTCTCATAATCCAGCGACGGTGGAAACGGAAACTAATGAATAGATAGGAGTTTTTGACTTGATTCTGAACCAAACTGCCAGGTTCGCCTGGATTGCCAGGACTGTCGAACTATCAGAGATCGGCAGATTTTTAGCAGAATCTGACAGTCCTGCGGATTCTCTTGCCCTCACAGATGGTCAAATCCAGATGGGCGCCTCATGGTTACCCCCAATAAAAGTGTCAAGATGAAATTTTTTTCTCCAAAACTCCTCGTGGGCCGCGCTTTGGGCACCCTTGACATAGACAGATATAGATTTCGTGGCGGAATCGCAGAGATGCGGTTCTAGGAACTGCATTCTTTGCAACTCCGGGGAGATGGAACTTCAAATTTACTAGAGCGATTCTGTGTCGAGAAAGGAAGAAACCTTTGTTCCTGTTGAGGCTTTCAGAGAAGAATAGGAGGATATTGAATTTTTCTGCTGGAAGAGGTTGAAGAAAGGTAATAGGCATTACCCCGCCTATTGATTTTCCTTGTTTCTTTCACCCGTCTTCTGGGAAGAGGAAGACGCTTTTCCTCCGAAAATTCTCGGAAACGGTGAAGAGTTAAATAATGAAATTAGGCGTGGGTGTTGGGAGTGCACTCAAACTGGGAGAAATGAGAATTTGGTTAAAAACTGATTACAGGTTAAAGCCAAATAATAGAAAGTCCTCGTTCTTTTCCATCAGGGTTTTTTCCGGCTGCGAAATTCCCTCACGTCTTGTCTACGGAAAGTGTCGGCAAATATTCCATGGAATTCGACTTTTGTTCTGCGACACTATGTGTGCAGATTCCTAGAGATCCATGTCGCCTGGCTGAGTCGAACAAACATCAGTCAAACGATGCACGGCATTTTTCGAATGGATTTAACCCTATTTCCTGGTCAGGAATGACGCTTATTAAAAAAAATACTCTGAAACTTTGAAGAGTTACATGATCAAATTTGGCGTGGAGGTAGGTCTGGCTCTCATCCTAAGGAAATGAGAGATTCGTGAAGAACTGCCCACTGATTAAACCTAAATCATGAACAACTACTTTCACTTTGGGAGAGTCTCCTGCTCGAAAATCCACTCCTGCGTTGTCCTTCGAAAGCGTCGCAATTCATTTGACGGAATCAGACGGTCCTCAAATACCGAAAGAGGGCAGGTTTCGTCTGAAAATATTCAAATGTAGAGAAGCTGAATAATAAATTGAGAATAAAAATCTGTGCATGAAAGGAAAATGAAATGCAAAGGCGCATACTACACGATTGCCTCCCCGCCTCTGACAGGATCCAATCGTGCCTGAATCACACCAAACTTCACTCCTTCAACTTATTTTTCTTCGGTTTAGAATATCATTAAATGTCATATTTAATTTGTTCCAGACGCGACCCCACCCCCGGCAACGAAAAGCGACTCGGAGATCCGCGCCTACGTCACCTCCATGCGCGTCATCGACAACTCCAAGATCCTCACCCAACTCTCCAACAAGATCGAGCCACGAAGGTAGTGCCGTCGCCTCCACACGACCAAGCCAAATCGTCATTCCCTCTTGTGATATTCCCCTCATCGTTATCCTCCTCCTCCTCCTCTTCCCACCTCCCTCCCTCCACCCTCTCTTTAAAAACCAAGGTGACGTTTCTGTGATGCTCTCATAATCAAATCATTTCCTCCCATATCAACGCTCGTCGTCATATCGCTTCGACGTCCCTCCGTGTAGGATCGGTGTGACCAGGACCCAAAAAGTTATCGTAAAAATCACTGCTGCGTTCGGAAGGAACCAGAAGGGATTGCTTGGACAATCATGACGACTCGCTTTGAGGATAAAAAATCTTTTAAATTTAGGATCTCTCCCAGCCTGTGTAGAGGCATCACTGGATCCAGTGTTGCCAGAGTGTTCGTGTCCCGAAATCCACCCCGTAGTTCACGAGACAACCCTCCGAGACGACCTCGTGCCTTCCCTTACCCGAAAAAACCCCGCCGCTCTTTCTCGTTCTACATTTCTCATCACGACCATATCTATTTTATCAAGTTTTTTGCATCTCGTCATCCTCCTCCTTGTTGTTGGTTGTTGCCGTGAACGAGAGTGAACGAGTTGCCCATTCCGCCGAGTCTTTCCTTTCGACCTCGCACATACCCTCGAGCTGCAAAAATATCGAATTATCATACCGAAATGTCGAGAAAACGAATTCCATTACAATCGTTGGAAAAGAGAAAAACCAAAAAAAAAGGAGTTCACTCTCGTCGACGATACTCGAAACACTTCCCTCGAGGCCTGGTCGGTCAGGAGACGACCCGAGGCAACGACTGAAAATTCCCAAGTGAATTCTTTCAACTTTCCGGTCTAGCCTCCCGAACGCGAGGTTAAACTCCTCATCGCCATGGACGTCGCGATTTATATGATAGCAGAAGCCCCTAGACTCCCTTCACAAGGGAATCCCCACTCTCACCATGCATTGAGCAAGAATTGCCTGGAAACTCCTTGAGCTAATAGTAACGGCTTTCAACAAACGTGCTAATTAGAACAACATCCTTCCTTCGGCTTGTAAGCGGAAAAATAACCGAGTTGAGGATGAAAGCTTCTGCTAAAACCATTCATTGTCACTTGGGGAATCGGGAGACATGCAGCGGGTTGGATGAATGCGACCTTGCTTATACTGTGGGGACCTTATTGCATCGGGCCAGATGGAAGGCCTCAACGTGGAGGGGACTCCCATCGGGCCAGATGGAAGGCCTCAACGTGGAGGGGACTCCATCCGAGGACATCCAATGGTAGACCGTGAGAAGTTGTCCTTGGAAGTTCTCTTGCTGGACGTTCAATGGATGCTCAAAGACGGACTGACACATTGTTTCGTTCGTAATGTCGAACTCTAAATGGAATCATGCACTGGTCCAATTATCATGTCACAATATATAATGATTGAAGTTACTGGGTTTCGTCCTGAGATGTGAGATTTGAGGGAAAAAAAAAATAGAAATCCCATGATCGGATGCTCGTGATGTCATTCCATAAAATTGTGAATGAAATGGAAATAATTGAGTGTTCCACATGGGGAAATTTTGCTAGGTTCAATCTCAGAATGCATGAGAAGATATCGATCCAAAAGTTGATTCGCATCAGGTGAGGAAGATATGCTTCTTACGTTTCTCTGCAAGCTGCAATGGAGCATTTTAATGCCGGGAACATAAACGTTTGAGGAAGCATCCAAAAAGGTACTTCTTGTCGCTTGTGATCGGGGAGTGCGGGAGAGGTAGGTTTCATTACCCTCAAGGTAATGAAACCTACCTTGCTTCCAACTATCGAAGATGACATCCATTCATCATCAGCACTGTATGATTTTTTCAAATTGCCGTTGAGAATCAGCCACGCCAATCCCATTCTTGAATTTTTTTTCTCTTTTTCTACGTTCTACACAGTCTTCGGGCATCGGCATTGGCAAAAAGGAAACCTGCCGATGGTGCCATACCGGAGCTTGCCGAAACAACGGTAAAGCCAATAATAAGCAAAATTCATGTAAAAAATTCACTTTGTGTTCACCTTAGGTAAAGAAATAAAATGCCCCAGGGCAAGTTAAAAATGAAAAAGTTGAGCCAGCATAGTTTAGAGAAAGAAGAATATAGAGAGGGAATTAACTAATGTACGTTTCGAAATGAAGGGAGTATAACAACAGTCCACTTTCGCAGCATACACCTGAAGCGAACGGGCCGAAGACTGAAACAGAAGAGAAAAAAATATTCTCGGTCTTCCCTCCCTCTCCTCCACTTCCCGTCTCCGATCCTACATGTTTTTTTTTTTTGTTGTCCCCTTCCCGTCTCTCATATAGTCAGTCCCAGCATTTCCAGAATTTGTTCGTGATAAGAAATAGCAAGCCCATGCAGGTCAGGACGCCTCTTCCTTTTTTTCCCGCCCGGACGGACTGTATTGTATTGTACTCGGCTCAATCCAATGAAACATTTCCCCTTTTAAATCTTTTGCCGATACATCGCGATGGTCGAAAACCAATCGATATCTCCAACCATCAATAGCGGTATCGATGCATCGATCTATCGTGCCACCCAAATTTTAACAAGTATGAACTCAAGATTGCCATTGCGTTCGAATGAGCCGGATTGGCGAATTAACGATATTCGAGGGTGATTCAAATGAAAACAGCTAAAGTTACATTGAACATTTTTTTAAATTCAAGCGTACTTTAAGGAACAGTTTTGCTTTTTAATGCATGGATTCCTTCCAAGAAGAATATCTTTGATTGCATGCTTAGCCCTCAAGCACAGATCTTCGAACCTCGTCGTCAGGGGAGTAAGTGTCGGTATTTGCGGCTTGGGTAGTTGATAGCATTGACGAATTGAAGGTCACCCCTAATATTATTTTCATTGATGGACCAAATGAAACAGGCAAAACTTTATTACTACATTACTTTAAGACTTTATTACTTGCATCCTATCTTAGAGTTATGAATGAAATTGTACTTTGAACCGCATCAACAGGCATCGCTGCACTGTTATGAGTTGGAACACGAAAGTACACATACATTTGATGGAAGAATGAGGAATTACTAACAAGGAGGCAAACAACTTCGAAGGATAAGGAATTCGTCACGAGTTTACGTGTTTAATAGCTTGAAGCATACCGTTTTACTTGTGAAAAATAATTTGCAGGGTCGAATCGCTGCATGATGTAGGAATCATGGCCACAACTCCCACTTGGGCTGGGGAAATTCGCATATATGTCAATAATTTCTATTTCCACAAATGAGAATGAATATAAAAATGTGGACATACAAGATGAAGATTTGCAATCCCTTTAAGAACCTTGAAATAAGCAAAGTACGACCCGTTCATGAAAACGAACTAGTACGTCCACGTACTGAATCGAGAATTTGAATGGAACAGGAGAGGAATGGGGAAGGGGGTAGGCATCTACTTCCCTCACACTTGGAGTGAGGATCGCACACAAGCACACGCTTGCTTCTGGCAAAACGATGTTTTCACGAGAGAATAAGGTGAAGTACCGACAACATAGTGGGTAAGTCATCGCATTCCATCGTGCGGTCCTCAACTGATTCTTTAGTGGAGTCGCGTCAGTTTCCACGTTTTATTCATCTCCCGCTTGGAAGAGCATTAGACTGAAGTAAGGCCTTTATGACTACCTTAAAATGTGTTTTAAATAACGGCCGTTATCATTTGGAATGCAAATTGATGGTCATTTTGGATACTTCTTTCATCCATTACAAACTCTTCATCTGCCATGTGTCATAGTACAGCTAAGAAACATTCATGATGAAGAGCTCCTGTCAATGAATTCTACAAACAGTGTGCTTGAAGGAAGTGTTTCTAAGGCTCGTGGGCCGGTGAGGATCTTCGTTTTCAGACATTCTGCGTGAATTCTCATACGAGTCAATGAATTCCGTATTGAATAAATGTCTCAAGTGATTCACTCAAGTCAAAGACTGTTATCAGCGCCGAGCAATGAGTAATAATTTCATGGTCATATACTTTGCGTGAGCTCATCTCCTACGTGTCATGAGTGGCCTCAAGAGCGTCCAGAATCTTCATGAATTCATGGTGATTGAAGTAATGAAATTTGAAATAAGTTTTAAATCCCAAAATTTTCAAAGAATGCATTAAATGGAAACGGAAGAAAAAACCATTTCTCAGGCATTGATGAGCTCCTGTAAATTAATTCCTTTTTCTTGTCCCATACTTGTCGATGAATTTCGTACCTAATAAATGTTTCAAATGCTTAACGCGAGTCTATGGATGTTAACAGCTCCTAGTAGTGGGGAACATGCTCCCAAGAATGCAATGAATGGAAAAGGAAGGGAAAACCATTTTTCACGTCATATATATTTGCATATATGTGAATAATTTCCATTTCACCAAATGAAATATAGGTATATTTGTATGTGGACAAACAACATGAAAATTTGCAATCAATATTGAGAAACTTGGTATAGGTACGGTAGATAATTGAATGAGTATATACTTCGTGCGATTTTTGGAGACCGTATGTATACGAGAAGTCACTTTTCATTTCTTCACGTGATGAAAAATTTCTTTTTTTTTTCCAATATTATTCATTTCTGAATTAAACGACCAGCTCATGGAAACGAATGAGAAAGTACATGGTATGTTACGGGAAAATGAATGGAACAATAGAGGAGTGGGGAAGTGGAGTAGGCTTCTGATTCCCTCGACTTTACACTTGCAGTGACACTCACAGAGACAGGCATTCTTCTCGCAAAATCGCTAATCAATTAGAAACGGATTAAGAAAGCAATGTCGATCCCAGCTCTCCGGGTTTCCTTTCAGGTTGGACAATTATGGACTGATGGATTTTCCAACGAAAACTCTCCGTTCTAGCTCGACTTCTTTCTTGAATCTTCTTCAAGATCCAGGTCTGTCCGGACCGAGCGGATGAAAGGGAAAGAAAGTTAATGCATTCCACAAGTCGTTTAGAACGTCGAATCGTGTCCATGTATGGCCATAACATAAAATAAAACTCACCAACGAGAATCGCTCGTCGTTTCGGCCTCATCGCGTCACGCCGTGGCTTCCTCCAACCGTATAAGAACATGTCCAAGATCCATTCCAGCATCTCCAAAACCGAGACGAATGACATCCCTGTGTAGAGTCCCAGCAAGCCTCCGAACATCCCGACGAAGCTCGACCACTTCCCACGAAAGAGGAGAGACCTCTTTTTTTTTGGCGGCAATTTCGGAGTGAGGGCGAAGAGAACTTCATGCCTTTTTTCGACTCACTGGATATAACTGAATCTCCGTGGTTTTTTCCACTGACATGGTTTCGTAGGAGACGTGCACCACAGCCATCTGAACACTGAAGAAATAAGTCAATGAGCAAAGCGGTTCAATGTCTTCGGTTGTCAGTGCTGCGTGGCCATCTCAGAAAGGGTATTTCGCAGACTCCAAGGACAATATGCGTGGAATGTTAATGTGCGAAATTTATTCTAAGTGATATATCAGCGAAACATGTAATTTCAAGGTGATGCAACAATCAGTACGTTCGCCAAGATATTACATTTTCAAGGAAATGCTACAAAGAATATGCAAACTTTGGAAGATAGCAGAACTTCGCTTTTTTCAACTCCCTAATGTTCTTGTACACCAACTGATTCTTCATCCAAGTCAACAGGTCTATGAACAAGTTGTCGTGACGACCCATCGGTGACGAAGTGAACGACAGCTCCAATCTCCTGTCTCTAAAACAACAACGTCCATGGTTTCAGCAGCCATCTTTCACGAATAGACCCAGAAACAAGGTGATGCTCACATGCAGCGTTGAGGATGACAAGAGCCGGAACTTTCCGCATATTTCGCCGCCCATGCCAATAAGGCGGGATCTGTGTTCCAGGAAGCAGCATTAAAACCACGCTTAAGCGTAAGAATTGAAACAAATATTGATAATGAAAATATGAAGGTGCTGAAGCCTTTCGAAACGCATTTTCAATTGAACCGAGTAGACGAATGGGTGGAAGGGTTCGCGGAATAGAGATGTTTCAAGTTAAAGTCATTTACAAGCGTCCAGTACGTCCTTCCACTACAAGCATCCATTACGTCCATCCAATACGCCCTACCAATAGGTACACCCATTATTTCTGTCTGTGAACGGCTCATGTTTTTCTGCAGGACGTGAGAGTAATACTTTTGTGCACGCATCTGTGCGATTTGTTGTAGTCAGGGATGATGTCGAAGAAACATGGGCGCAATTTCCCCTTGGGTCTAAGGGTCTTCCATCGAACATACGACTCGATTTGATAGCCACATACATACCCCCATTCTGTGTTAAAGCAATACTCATCTGAAATTCGAGAATCGTATATGGTGAAGCAAAATAATGGAACCCATTTTCCAATCGCTCCTTCAAGAAAACCGAGAATATTGACAAGTACAAGGGCACATAAACAAGTTACATGTCATGCCAACGTCCTCACCTATATAGCAAACCTTGCCGTGATCCACTTCGGGGATATCCAGAATTTTGCGGTGATGCGTCATGACCAGTGTCGAGATGCAATCGAGCGAGACGTTGTAGTCATCCATCAGTAGAGTTGAAGCATACAAGTCCTGGCACAACTGATCCATCAAATAGGACTTTCTAAGAAGGAGGCAAACCGGCTTCGATGGATAAGGAATCCGATATGAGCTTAGGCCTTTACCTGCTTAGAGTAAGCTGTTCGATTCGTGATATGGAAGACTTCCGGGTCGAATCGCTGCAGAAGGTAAGTATCTTGGGCGCAATTCCCACCTTGGTCTGGGGGAATTCTTTCGAACTCCACCATCTTTAGGCCAATATGGGAAATCTCCCTCAGGTTAGCGTTGAATCCTTCATCGATCGTATAGGTGATATCCTGGGGTTTCCGAATGAAGAGTCTGTATCCCGTAATCGAAGCAGACCGTGTGTCCCAATAATAAGGGGCCAGTGCGAGTCGAAGACCATCCTGCTCGAAGTGAGAAGGGAAAAAAATATCACTTCAATTTCCCTCCACTAGGTGAAATCCATGGAAGTGGTCGTACCCAACCGGAGTTGTTCGAAGTTATTTCAGGATGTGAGATGTGCCGGGCGTCTTTGTCACGGCGGAAATTGAAGGTAATGCAATCTCCAAGCAATTCATTTTCCTCAGGTGAGAAATCACTGCGAAAAACAAAAAACCATAGATATTTAGTTGCACATAATGTAAACTGCTACCTCATAAGTCGTCGCCTCTTTTTCCAGTGCTTAAAAGGAATGGGAAAAAATTTGATTTATTTATTGGAAAAGCTGAAATAAAAGAGCTGAAGGTTTCTCTTTCGGCGTGTTGTCTTCGCCAAAATGTCGAACTTCCTTGTGAAATTATAAGTTAATGTATGAATGTAAAAACTAATTCTCAAAGGTTTTCCCTTTCTTCCCCCTTTCACCACGTAACTCACTGGTGTTAGGCCTCGGCCTACCTTTGTTCGTTCAGAAGAAAGTGATTCCTCGACCTACGGACCAATTGGACCAATTAGGATTAATTCTCACACCGTCTCGACTCGTTCCGAGAAGGAAATGCCCTTAGATAGCATAACGTTTGGGCTGGCTGCACTGAAGTTCATTTCGGGATGTCTGGATGAGATATTTCCGTATTCCGCCAAATCGACCGGTTGCTGTAAACCGACGTTTCTATCTCAGCTCATTCTTTGAATTCTGCAGAATGATGTCTTTTACATTAAGGAGAGGAAATCCTGACGATAAAACTAAGGCCGGGGAAATCACGAATCTGACATTATTCCGGCATGATTTCCGGCAACGCTGGAGGACGAGATCCGGAGCCAGCTGTTTCAGCTCGAATGAACCAGAGCCCATTTCATTTTTTTTTTTAAATGGCGGAATGGTGCATCATGAGCAACAAAAGAGGCACTTTTCGTCATCGACTTGTCTTTGTTATGGTGTCTATACTTCTCCTTTGACGTCCACGAACACACGTGACGGCTGAAAATCGATTCTCATCAGGTAAGGAATAAAGCATTCTTACGCTTCTCTGCATGGCTCCTCATTGAAGCTGCAATGGAGTATTTTGATGCCTTTAAGATCCACACGTGAGGAAGCATCCAAAAGGAACTTCTTGTCTTGGGGTAGACTGTTGATCTTCGCGAAGCGGTCTCTAAAATATTGCTGCAAGTCATCATCTGCAGAGAAATGTTTTTCTTGAGACTTTTTTTTCTTCTGCGTTCTGCGAACTTTGTCGGAGAGGAACTACTTTCTCTTAATGCTATTTTGAGTGGTCCGATGAGATTAAGAGCTATTTTGGACAAGTCACGAAAAATATTTGGTACAACTTTAAAATACAAATCGTTCGTAGCGACAGCCAAAAAATTTCATAACTGTTCTCATCTCATTATTGGTTCAACTATCCAGATTCCTGGGCATTTTCATTCTTTCATGATTTTTACTCATCACCCGTGCAATCAAATGACAATCGCACTCAAGGAAGCTCACTGCAGCAAATTAACTCCGAGTGGTGAAAATTTTTAAATAATGCACATTTTTATAAACAATCATCCACTTTTCCTATTTTCGTTTGAACCACGAAGTAACAAGTATGGAGCTGTTCACGTTGCGTATCCGAGAAAGGGGCAGTGCAGATTTTCTCCGAGGCGCCCTCGTCTGCTTCATTCTGAGGGGAATGTGCTCTTGGTAGTTGGTATTCGTCATCTGAGGTTGAGTCTGGTTTCAACTTTTGAAAACTCTTTCCCAATTGGCATGTTTGCCCCAATATATCTTCAATCGTGCCGAAGAACCCGGAAGTATCGTAATCCCAGTGCCGATTTCTTTGAGGGCAGATAGTCACTGCTGGGAACGGAATTATTTCTCGCGGTTCCACCTAAATGACAGACGGAGAATCCATCGATAACGCTATATGTTCCGACCCTGAGATGAGAGGAACAGACGATGAACCTCTTAATACCTGGGTAGAGGTTGTCATTTTGCCCGTCGTGTATAAAGAGATGATGTCGATGATTCCATAGGACATGTAGCCAGTGGTGATGAGGAATACGAAGAGCCAAAAGAATTTTCTGACGAGAGAGGATTCTGGGTAGGCAGAACGGCCCAGTGCCTGGACGGAGATATCGAAATATTATGCCTACTCTTCCATTATTGAATATGAATATGCCATTATTCGGACTGCCTGTCTCCAAATACAGACTAGATCTGAATACATGAACTGGAACTTGTTCCTTTCTCTTGCAACAACCAATGAACAATTTTTTTATTTTTCGCAATTGCGAACAACGAAACGTCAAATTGTGAAATTAAAAATGCTCCCGGCTATTAAGTATGAACGATGCTACACTTGGTATCGCATTGCTGCAGATTGTGCTTGCTACGCGACCACAGGGACTGGTATAAGGAAAAGTGGACATTGGTTGAATGAATCACGTGCAACTAGTTAAGTGCAACATGTTGCGATCAACTTTTCCCCAAAAAGAATTTGATCTCAGCGGCTTGGCATCGAACACGCTGAAAAAGGCATGCCCGGACTGATATTAAAATGAAATGTTGCGGCAATGGATTAACATATACTCGTATAGGTATTCCTAAAGTACCTGTAAACTGGAGACTCAGCAGAATTTAATAAATGCAGCTTATTTTGAAAATGGCAGGAGTCTAATGCCTGCCTGCACGGACAACGCACTCTAGCGCCCGGCCACTGTTGTCATCCACAACATTACGAAGAGTGTTATCAGGACTGGGTCCTATTTCATTTCTTGTGTTTTTCCTACGTGTATCGTTTCCATGTTTCCATTCTTGTCGTGGTTGAAGCAGAAATTCATGGTTATTCTTGGATACTTCTTTCATCCCTCATAGATGATAATTTTGCCTAGTGTCATCCGTGATGATTAGCGAATGCTAGCGCTAGTGGACGAACTCGGCATAGAAGCCACTCACGTGTCCCGTGAATCTGTTGAGGAATCTGACGGTGACAGGGCCGACGCCGACCGTTCCCCCGAGGTCGTCTTCGAACTGAACCTCCACTGGTCTTCCCCTCGATCTGTCATCGATCCCCACTTTTCCTCTCATTGTCCTAACTCTCGGAAACAAGTGAGATCTCACGCCGTATAATGATAGAGTCAGTGGGATTGCGCTCAGTAGAGGGAAGGTGTAAAGCCAAAACGCAATAGATGAGCAAAGTCTTGGTAAAATGGACTGCTTCGGGACCACGTACATGCGCACGCTCGACGTCTCAAAGCCTGAAGCCAACGCCTTTTCTGTTCATCGAATGGAATTAGGCATTGGATTGCATGTTTTCCTCGTTCGGAATATAATGAAATGGACTGACACGAGAGTAAATCGATACGCTTCAAGTATCAGTTGCTCTCTTAGCAGATGCTCTATTGGTTTTTTCGAAGATTCTTTCGAGCTTCAAGCATAAATAATAACCAATTATTATTTGCAAGTGAAATATTCCCTTGTCGATCTGGTTTCACTTAGAAACAAATGAGATGTTCGAATCGATCAGAGTTGGCTATTTCACGATTCGAAATCATTGAGCCTCATTATTTTCATCGATCGAAAACGGCTACTCCTAGGAATTCCCCTCATCTTTCTTCTAAAACTGTCGCCATTCTATCGGTTCCTCCTCCACAATGCACATATTTGTTCCTGACGGTTCGTTTCATTTAGGGACGATCTCTCCTTGGAATGAGAAGGGCATCGAAAACAAAGTGTCCATGCAAGAGGTGACGAAGAAACGCTGTTTAGTTTCCACGAAGGCGACACTAACTGTTGAATCTCTTGTTCGCAAATATTTTATCGCGGAAATTGCATTTGAGGCTGGCAGCGAAGCATGAAGGCACGAAGGCAGTATATCGATCTTTCCATCAGTTTGTCAGACTTCATCGGCTCATCAGTTGTTGCCTTTGCGTGCCTTTGACGGTGGAAGTCCCTTTGTCTTATCGTTTGCCCATGCATCAGAAGCTCCTTCAAGAGCTTCCAGCATCATCAAAGATTCATCAGGAATTAAATAAAAATCATAAGACGATATAGAAGACGTCCTTTCATCGCGGGATTGTTAGGCGGTGGAGTGGAGAAGCAAATTGAGACCGCAGATCTATAGTCAAAGTAATGGCAAATAAATTGCTAATGTTTCTTGAAAATTTTCGTAATTAGTTATTGCCTTAGTTTTTGCTAGTGTGATGAGGATCAGTCACGTTGCTCGCAAGATGTAAGGGCGAAAAGCATTGACATTCGAATAAATTCGGAATCGGTTTTCTTCACAAGTATTCCCTAGAATTCATTAAATGGAAGAGGTACGGTATGAGTCTGAAATGATTGCCTGTTTCGTTATTAGACTTTACTTTTTTTCACACTTTGTTTCCTTTATGCATTTCATTCAATTCTTGACTTGGAACTGGATCAAATACTCCTTTTCCGAGGGTAAATTTTTTTTAGAAAAATAACGGAAATATGCTGTACTGTCGAGTCTGGAAACCTGTCATCAACATACCGTGTTACTTGTGACCAATGTATCAAATGAAACTTTTTTTTTTAATAGGTCCCCATCCAAAATAAATCACCTCACTCAAAAATAGTTTGGTTGAAGAAAGGGAAAGCCTTTGAAAAATGGTTTTTACTTTACTTCTTTTCATAAAATCAAGCTGTTCTTTGAAATTTTCTGAAACCTCAACTGCAGCAGTTACAACTTCAAATTTTAAGTCATTCACATTTTTAGGCACTCTTTAAGTATGCGAACATTTTTGGCTGTTCACCACTAGCCGCTTTTGCAAACGAGTGATTTCGCAAAAACAAATGTGGAACTTTTTTTTGGAATCACACGAAGACCTCTGGCAGACTGTTAACTCGGAGTAAGAATCCTTTGTTTAGTGTTGGGTACCGCATCTTTTTCTTGGAGCAAGTAACAATTTTTTCAAAATTATGACCTAAGACGAATTAAAGAATCAAATAAATTTATGGCTGTTCCTCTTACCGGGGAAAATGATAGTTTAGATTTAAATGTCTAAAATGTCTTAAAAGTACACGTAAGTGGCAGACGGAGAATCCATCTCTGACGTCACACGTTCGGACTCAGAGAGAATGGGAGAGACAATTAGCCTCAATATCTTCGTGCCTGGGTAAAGGTTGCTTTTTTTGCCGTCGTATATAAATTGATGATGTCGCTGATTCCATAGGACAAGTAACCAGTGCTGATGAGGAATATGAAGAGCCAAAAGAAGAGGATTCTGGGTACTCAAAACGGCACTGTGCCTGGACAGAGATAGTCGTGATGAAATCGTGTTAGTTTCCACTTTTTATTGTTCTCCGGCTTGAAAGAGCATTAGACTGAAGTTAGGCCTTCATGACTACCTTTAAACTTGAAAACAGTTTTAAATAACAGCAGTTATCATTTGGAATGGAAATAGATGCTCATTTTTTATTCTTCTATCATCCATTACAGACTTTTAATCTGTCACGTGTCATCCATGATAGTGCAGCTAAGAAACATTCATGATGACGAGCTCCTGTAAATTAATTCCAGTTTCCTTTTTTCTGAGACACATTGACCAGTGTGGATCTTCGTTTTCAGACATTCCGCGTGAATTCTCATACCTACTGATGAGTTCCGTACCGAATAAATGTGTCAAATGCTTAACACGAGTCAATGGATGTTGTCAGCGCCGAGTTATGTGTGCCTTTTTCCAAAGAAAGCAATATATAGTAAGGAAGAGAAAATATTTTTCTGGACATATGTATTTGCATATATGTGAATAATTATTATTTCATCAAATGGAAAATATATATTTCAATGTGCGCAAACAAGATGAAGACAAGCAATCACTTTGATTATCTTGGAATAAGCACGGTAGGTAATTCAATGTGTATATGATTTGTGCGATCTTAGGAGACTGTGTGGATACGAGAAGTCCCTTTTCATTTCTTCAGGTGGGAAGAAATGACATATACAAATATGACTCATTTCTGAAATCAACGACCTGTGCTTGGAAACGAATGAGAACGCCCGTGGTATGAATCGGAAAAATGAATGGAACAATAGAGGAGTGGGGAAGTGGAGCAGGCTTCTAATTCCCTCGCCTGTAAACTTGGAGTGAGGATCACACAGACGTGAATGTTTCTTGCAAAATCACTTATGAATTAGAAACGGATAAAGAAAGCAATGTCGAATCCAGCCTTCCAGGTTTCCATTCAGGTTGGACAATTATAGACTGACAGTTTTCAGAATGAAAACTCTCCTTTCTCGCTTGACTATCTCGAATCTTCCTCAAGAACCATGTCTGGCGGGAGAAAGCGGAAGAAAAGGAACAAAGTTAATGCATTACACAGATCGTTTAGAATGTCGAATCCTGGCAATCTATGGCCATAAAAAACATAAAAACTCACCCACGAGAATCGCTCGTCGTTTCGGCTTCGTCGCGTCACGCCGTGGCTTCCTCCAGCCGTACAAGAACATGTCCAAGATCCATTCCAGCAGCTCCAAAACCGAGACGAATGACATCCCTGTGTAGAGTCCCAGCAAACCCCCGAACACCCCGACGAAGCTCGACCACTTCCCACGAAAGAGGAGAGACCCTTTTTTTCCGCGGCAATTTCAGTGTGAAGGCGAAGAGAACTTTATGAATTTTTCGACCCACTGGATATAACTGAATCTCCGTGGTTTTCTCCACTGACATGGTTTCGTAGGAGACATGCACCACAGTCATCTGATCCCTGAAGAAATAAGTAGATGTGCAAAACGGTTCCATTTTTTTGGTTGTGAGTGCTGTCTGGTCATTTCGAAAAAGGTATTTGACTCTATAGACACTATGTACAGAATATGTGGAACGAAATTAAATCACAGAAAAATTTTAATTTCTCTAGGCGAAACATGAAATTTCGAGGTGCTGTTACTACTTTCGATTATATATTACTTGTTCAAGAAGATGCAACAATGAATTTGCCAACTTTGGTTGAAAGCAGAACTTCGCCTTTTTCAAGTCCCGTTTTCTCATGAACGCCACCTCGTTCTTGATCCAAGTCAACACGTCTATGAACAAGGTGTCGTGACGACCCATCGGCGACGAAGTGAACGACAGCTCCAATCTCCTGTCTCTAAAACAACAACGTCCATCGTTTCAGCTGCGCATCTTTCACGAATAGGCACAGAAACAAGGTGATGCTCACATGCATCGTTGAGGAGGACAAGAGCCGGAACTTTCCGCATATTTCTCCGCCCATGCCAATAAGGCGGGACCTGTGTTCCAGGAAGCAGCATTAAAACAACGTGAGCGCAATCATTGAAACAAACATTCATGATGAATATTTGAAGGTGCTGATGCCTTTCGAAACGCATTTTCAAATGATCCGAGGAGACGAGTGGGTGGAAGGGCTCGTGGAATAGATAGATATGTAATACTTTGGTGCACGCATCCGAGCGATTTGTTGTAGTCAGGGATGATGTCGAAGAAACATGGGCGCAATTTCCCCTTGGGTCTAAGGGTTTTTCATCGAACATACGACTCGATTTGATAGCCACATACATACCCCCATTCTGTGTTAAAAGTAATACTAATGTGAAATGCACGAAGCATACAGTATGTGGTGAAGCAAAATAATGGAACCCATTTTCCAATCGCTCCTTCAAGAAAACCGAGAATATTGACAAGTACAAGGGCACATAAACAAGTTACATGTCATGCCAACGTCCTCACCTATATAGCAAACCTATGGTGAAGCAAAATAATGGAACCCATTTTCCAATCGCTCCTTCAAGAAAACCGAGAATATTGACAAGTACAAGGGCACATAAACAAGTTAAATGTCATGCCAACGTCCTCACCTATATAGCAAACCTTGCCGTGATCCACTTCGGGGATATCCAGAATTTTGCGGTGATGCGTCATGACCAGTGTCGAGATGCAATCGAGCGAGACGTTGTAGTCATCCATCAGTAGAGTTGAAGCATACAAGTCCTGGCACAACTGATCCATCAAATAGGACTTTCTAAGAAGGAGGCAAACGGGCTTCGATGGATAAGGAATCCGATATGAGCTTAGGCCTTTACCTGCTTAGAGTAAGCTGTTCGATTCGTGATATGGACCTGGCACAACTGATCCATCAAATAGGACTTTCTAAGAAGGAGGCAAACGGGCTTCGATGGATAAGGAATCCGATATGAGCTTAGGCCTTTACCTGCTTAGAGTAAGCTGTTCGATTCGTGATATGGGAGACTTCCGGGTCGAATCGCTGCAGAAGGTAAGTATCTTGGGCGCAATTCCCACCTTGATCTGGGGGAATTCTTTCGAACTCCACCATCTTCAGGCCAATATGGGAAATCTCTCCCAGGCTTGCGTTGAATCCTTCATCGATCGTATAGGTGATATCCTGGGGTTTCCGAATGAAGAGTCTGTATCCCGTAATCGAAGCAGACTGTGTGCCCCAATAATAAGGGGCCAGTGCGAGTCGAAGACCATCCTGCTCGAAGTAAGAAGGGAAAAAAATCACTTCAATTTCCCTCCACTAGGTGAAATCCATGGAAGTGGTCGTACCCAACCGGAGTTGTTCGAAGTTATTTCAGGATGTGAGATGTGCCGAGCGTCTTTGTCACGACGGTAATTGAAGGTAATGCAATTTCCGAGCACTTCATTTTTCTCGAGTGAGAAATCGCTACGAGTAACAAAAAGGAAATCATATTTAGTCGTACTGTAAACTATATTATAAGTCGTGGTCTCTTTTTCCAGGACGAGAAACTAATGGACAAAAATGATTTTTTTTTGTTGGAAAATTTGAAATAAAAATTCTGGACGATTCTCTTTTATCTTAACCCAGAAAAAGGACTTCCTTGTGAAATTGTGCTTTAATGTAGTAATACGAAACAGGTTCTCCCTTTCTTCAGCCACAAACTAAACCTCAACCTCAACCCACCAACTTCTCCACGTAACTTACTATCGTTAGGCCTAGGCCTAACCGACGGACTGTCCATGGGTCAGGCCTATGCCTACGAAATGCTGGTGCTTTCTGAGAAGAAAAAGAACGCCAAAGGAGTATGTACAGGTTCGGCCTTTAAAGTATTTGCAAAGAAATGGACATTTTTCGAGCGGGCGTCTTTAGCCGAACCTAAAAATGTAATTTTTTCAGATCTGAGCCATTTTAAAGAGTTATGTTAGGTAAAGGTTTTTTATTGTTAGGTTATGTAAAGCCTAGGTTAGGTTAGCCCATTTTCGACCTTAAATCGACGTTGATGAAGTTAAATTTCATGTAATCGGTTTCAGTAGTGAACATGAATAGTATCATTTTCGTCCGAGTGAGGGGTTTCAAAATGTTAGTCTTGGTTAGGTTTAATTACATTAGTGTTTTCAATGGGACTTCCTATGAAAGCCCTTGAATGCTATCGGTGAAGTTTTACATGTAATTGGAAAAACAAGCAAAAAAAGTTTACATGTATGATTCATGATTTATAAGTTAAAGATGCATAGATACATTCTTATATTTTACAAAATACATTGCAACTGTATTTCATTCATGATTATTCCTTGGTAATCTGAATTTCCCATTCCTGAAAACCGTTAAAAGTATGATTTCTGATGGAAAACCCATTCAAAACGACTTCATCGTAACCTACCCTATCCAAACCTAACCTAACCAACCTGTTTTAAACCCTTTCGATCGGAGTTCATATGTCATTATATTACTCTGCAAATGACGCTCTTTCAAATGATATATGATAGATTGCAATCGGTTCAAGAGCCCAATTAACGGCACCCATTAATCTCGAGCAAAAGTTGTGTCCTCACTTCTCCTTTGACGTCCACGAACACACGTGAGGGCTGAAAATCAATTCTCATCAGGTAAGGAATAAAGCATTCTTACGCTTCTCTGCATGGCTCCTCATTGAAGCTGCAATGGAGTATTTTGATGCCTTCAAGATCCACACGTGAGGAAGCATCCAAAAGGAACTTCTTGTCTTGGGGTAGACTGTTTACCTTCAAGAAGCGGTATTTACAATATGCCCCCAAGTCTTCATCTGCAGAGAAATGTTTTCCCAGATATGTCATCTTGATTTCAACATTTGTTGAGGATGAATGTTCCCCAAAATCGTACGTTTGAGAAAAAGATAACCATCGCGTTCTATTCAGTTGGATTAGCGAATTGGCAATACTCGAGGAGGATTCGAATGAAAACAGCTTCTGTTAATTGAAAAAATCGTATCATTCGTTGATGCATACTCTTAAGAACCTCTATGCATCTTAATACCCGGAGTCCGTGCGAGAAGAATTCCTTTCGCTGCATTCTGAGCCGTCCAAGCACCGCTGTTCGAACCTTGTCGTCAGAGTGAAGCTACTTTCTCTTAATGCCTTTTTTATTTGTCCGATGAGAGTGATAGTCATTTGGGACAGGTCACGAGAAATGTTTGGTACCACTTTAAAAATACAGATCCTTAGTAGTGATATGCAAAAAACCTTTTAATTACAGGGCTCATCGCATTCATGGAATAACTACCCATACGCGTAGGAATTTTCAATCTTCAATGATTTTTACTCATCACCTATGGAAACAAATGACAATCGCACTCAAAGGAGCCCACTGAAGAGAAACAACTTCCCTTGTAAAAAAAAAAAAACAGAATAATACCCATTTTCATAAACAATTATCCCATTCTCCTCCTTTCATTTAAACCACGCTAATATTCGAAACAAGTATGGAGCTGTTCACATTGCGTACGAATATCTGAGAAAGGGGTACTGCAGATTTCGTCCGAGGAGCTGCCTTTGTCCGTTGGATTCTGAGGCGAATATGCCATTGCGGGTTGGTACTTGTCATCTGATCGTGTGTCTTTTTTAAACAACATTTGAAAACTCTCTCCCAAACGAATATTCCCGAAGACATCTTCAATCGTGCCGAAGAACCCGGAAGTATCGTAGTCCTGGTTCGGATTTTTTTGAGGGCAGATCGTCACTGCTGGGAACGGAATTATTTCTCGCGGTTCCACCTAAATGGCAGACGGAGAATCCATCGATAACGCTATATGTTCCGACCCTGAGATGAGAGGAACAGACGATGAACCTCTTAATACCTGGGTAGAGGTTGTCATTTTGCCCGTCGTGTATAAAGAGATGATGTCGATGATTCCATAGGACATGTAGCCAGTGGTGATGAGGAATACGAAGAGCCAAAAGAGCTTTCTGAAGAGAGAGGATTCCGGGTACGCAGAACGGCCCAGTGCCTGGATGGAGATATCAAAATGTTATGTCTACTCTTCCATGTTTGAATATGAACATGCTATTATTCGGGGTGCAACTCACAGGAACTAAAAGCGGGAACTGGAACGCGAACCTTTCGCATGCAACAACCAAAGATCACTTTTCGCAATTGCGTACAACGATATGTCGAATTGTGAAATCAAAGTTGTTCCTGGCAATTAAGTATAAACGATGCTATACTTGGTATCGCATTGCTCCGGACAACCTAGGGAAAATTGCTACGAAACGACAGGGGCTGGTGTAAAATTTTGCTTGTTCTAAGTGGTCCTTGGTTAAAATTGATGCCCATGAATAAACTCCAACAATTTAATTGCAACATGTTGTGATCGACTTTCTCGCAGTTTCAAAAAAGAATTTTTAATCTCATGGGTTTGGCATCGAAAACGCTAAACATGCATGGCCGGACGGATTTCAAAATGAAATATTCCGGCAATGTATTAACATTTTAATATGCTCCTGAATGCATCTGGAAATGGGAGACTCAGCAGAATTTCATGTTTTGAAAATGATGCGAGTCTAATCATCACCAGGGGCAACGGATAATAGCGCCCTGACAATCATGTCATCCACAACCTTTGTAGGATTGTTTCCTGGGGCCCGTTCCTCGACTCTGATGAACTTGAATATAAATGAATATGAATCTAAAAGTATTCTAAAAACTAAAAGTCTATCTGGGCCCTTAAAACTAAGATTTAGATTTAGACTTGATTTAAGTTTAGCAGAAGCGAGGAACGGGCCGAGGAATGGGATCGATTTCATTTCTTATGTTTTCCGTGGGCGTATCGTTTAAATTTGCTCTGTTCTTGTCGTGGTTGAAACGACATTTTGGGCTCATTCTTAAATGCTTCTCTCATACCTCATAGATTCTTATTTTGCCTATTGCCATGCGTTATAGTACAATTAAGAAACATTTTCATGATGAAGAGCATCTGCCAATGAATTATGCCATCATTGTGCTGGAAGGCCATGCATCTAAAAATCATGGATCGGTGAAGATCTTCGTTTTAAGGCATTCTCTGTGAATGCTAGTACTAGTGAACTCGGCATCGAGGCCACTCACGTGTCCCGTGAATCTGTTGAGGAATCTGACGGTGACAGGGCCGACGCCGACCGTTTCCGCGCGGTCGTCTTCGAACTGAACCTCCACTGGTCTTCCCCTCGATCTGTCATCGATCCCCACTTTTCCTCTCATTGTCCTTCAACCTCTCCGAAACAAGTGAGATCCCCCGCTGTATAATGACAGAGTCAGTGGGATTGCGCTCGGTAGAGGGAAGGAACAAAGCCAAACCACAATAGACGAGCAAAGTCTTGGTAAAATAAACTGCTTCGGGACCACTTATATGCGCAGGATCTTCCGGTATGCGCACGCTCGACGTTTTAAAGCCTCAATACAAAGCTCATCGAATGGGATTACTCATTGGATTACATGCTTTCCTCGTCCGGAAAAATCTGAAATGGTCTGAAACGAGAGTAAAGCGATCAGTTTCTCTCTCAGCAGATTCTCCATTTGTTTGTCTGAAGATTCTTTTAAGCCTTAAGCATCAATAATTACAATTCGGATGCAAGTGAAATATTCCCTCGTCGATCGGCTATGACTTGGAAACAAACGAAATGTTCGAATCGATCAGAGTTGGCTATTTCACGATTCGAAATCATTGAGCCTCATTATTTTCATCGATCGAAAACTGCCCTTCCTAGGAATTGTCCTGCTCTGCTCTCGAAAGCTGTCGCCATTCCATCGCTTCCTCGTTCACAAGGCATATATTTATTCCTGACGGTTTCTTTGATTTAAGGCCTATCTCTCCTTGGAATGAGAAGGGCATCGAAAACAAAGTGTCCATGCAAGAGGTGACTAAGAAACGCTGTTTAGTTTCCACAAAGATGACGATTCCACGAAGGCAACACCAACTGTTGAATTTTTGTTCGCAAAAATGTTCTCATAGTGGAAATTGCATTTGAGGCTTGAGCGAAGCATGAAGGCACGAAGGCAGTATATCGATCTTTCCTTCAGTTTGTGAGACATCGACTTGGTTGTTGTGGCCTTGGCGTGCCTTTGAAGGTGGAAGTCCCTTTGTCTTATCGTTTGCCTATGTGTCGAAACCTCCAAGTCCTTCCAACATCATCAAAGATTCATCAGGAGTTAAAGAACAAGTCGATATAGAAGACATCCTTTCATCGCGGGATTGTAAGGGGTGCAACGTAGAAGGAAATGGAGACCAGGGATCGATAGTCAAGTAATGTAAAATGAATTCCAAGTGTTTCTTGGAAATTTTCGTAATTATTATCTCCATGGTTCTTGCATGTGCAATGAGTAGCAAGATGTTAGTGCGAGAAGCACTGATATTGGAACAAATTCGGAATCGGTTTTCTTCCCCCCAATGTTCCATGGAATTCATTAAGCAAATGAGCTGCGGAATGAATCAGAAATGAGTTCTTGTTTCGCAATGAGACTGAAATTTCTTTAAATATTGTTTCTTTCATGGATATCCCTAATTTCCTGACTTGGAACACTATGAAATATGCTTTTTTATCAGGGAAATTTTTATTAGAAAACTAAAAAGAAATCTTTCCATACATCGAATGAGCTTAAACGAACCATACAAGTTTACCAAAAGTGATGTGGTTGAATGGATTCAGGAACATGGAGTTCGACATTGAAAGTGGAGAGGACCTCCTGTTGGCAGCGTGAATCGGAGCAGATGCTGATGCGTGCAGATCCTCTTACATTTAAATTCGTTCATTCGACTGGTTGTCTCCTGCTGGTGGTTTCTGTGAGCTTACCGGAAATGAAAGGCAGATGAATAGACGAATTCCATCCCGGAGAGTTTTCTCAAGGCCCTTTAGGAATTTTCCTTTTCTTCCCAAAGGAGCTGCCTGTTTTAAGTGTCAAACTCGTCATCGACAAAATATCATTCATAACTTTTATAATATATAAGAAAAAAATCGTCATCCTCATAGAAATTAAAATAAATGAAAACATGCTACATCTTCAGCAAATTTGGTAAGATATGTCTTCTGCAATCGTGTGAAATTACTTCATTTTCATTCGTATGACAACTAATTAAATACAACTAATTAAATACAATTTAGTCTGTTTCAAAATAAGCCCCTGGAGCTAACAATTGCCTTTTGAAGTTTTACCTTTCCATCTGTCCTGGTTTAGCTTGAGCAAATACCCGCGTATATCTCATATTCAATGGCTATATGTCCCATGGAATCATCGCCACCATCGATAAATACAGGATTGGCAAAATAACAATCACTACCCAGGTATGAAGATATCGTCGTTTATCTTATATGCCATCGTCTCCGAGTGTAAAAGTGTGGCTTTACCGATCGACTTGCCGTCTCCCATTTAGATGGAGTCACAAGAACTCACTCACTTCCCGACCGTCACTATCTGCCCTAAAAAACGTCAATATCAGACCTACATGCTTCTGAACTCTACGGCCCAATCGATGATGTCATAGGACAATGGAGGAGCCTTAAAAAGGGTAGTATGAGCGGAAAATCGTTTTTCCCCGACTGTCAAGGTCAGATGACGGATACCGACCAGAAATGGCAGATTCGCTCCAGAATGAAACAGACGAAGACAGATCGGAGGAAATCACTGTTGTCCCTTTCTCAAATGTAGAAGGTGAAAAGCTCCAAACCTCTTCTTTCGAGTACGAAGGTGGGTTCAAAGAAAAGAGCAAAAGTTGATGATTAGTTCTAAATACTTTTTTACAATGGTTGTTCACATTAGTTGTACCAAGATGGAGATGAGAGCATCTTTAAGATGTTTGAAAGCAGAAGGAATTAAGCCTAACGAAATAAATTGCAAGCCACTAAGGAGAGAGTATGAATGGGTAGAAAAGTAAAAAAAAAAGAAAAAAGAGTCCATGATCTTGAAGATGCAGCTCGTCATCACCAGGAAAGGCGGTGATGATCGTGATGTGACAAAAAAAGGAGGGAATTTTGGACAATTTACAAGGGGACAACTGTCAACTTGTATTGCGATATGCTTTATAGCCAGCTGAAACTCTGGAAAAAAACTGGAATCCAGACCAAAAGTCAGGGTTTGCTTCGAAAAGGGTTTTTCAGCACGAAGACGTCCGTCCTCTCAGTGCACCATTTGGAGTTATTATTCTTCGCACTGAGGAAAACGGGACTCCAAGTGTTTTACGGGGGTTTTCCCACATGAAAGTTATAATTGAGATGTGAACATCCCTTAATAAGGGAGGGGGGTGGGGGATGCACAAGTAAAATGCCTTCCTCTCCCATTCTCAAGAGCGGATCTGACATTTGCAGAGGCCAGAGAGAAAGTGCGAGAGTATGAGACGGACGGAAGTCGTCCATGGACTGATTCTCGGGAATTCCCAAGCTAAGACAGCAGCCTTAAAACTCAACGGCCCTCTCAACGATATAAGCAGCCCCCCCTCGAGAATGACCAGTGGAACACTGTGGGGTGTCAAACGTCCGGCCAACGACTTGATTTCATGTGACTTGCAAAATCCTCTGCACCAGTTGGTTTTGCAAAAGCCAATTTCTGTGAGCAATTAAACTTTGGTGAGATTGGCTAATGTGGACCTAACGACTCCTGAGGGGTTCCATCTGGCATCCAGCTTAATCAAGTTTGACATTTCTGGCTTAAGCTAATTGTGCAACAGGGCCGCCAAAATGAATTGTGAGGCCTGAGGCAATATTCATGTAAGGGCCACCTTTCAACTCTTCCCCCTCCCTCCCGCTTCAAGCACACACAGAAAATTCTTTATTACTAACGAACGCTGAACTACTAAACAATAATCCGGTGTGGGCCCCCTCCCCCCTCCAGGCAAGGGACATGGGGCAAATTGCCATAGATTCCGGAAACGTTCCATCAGCATACTATGTCACTTGGGTCCTGTGTATCATACGATATTTTTATATTGTTCCCCATAAAAAATAAATCGCCTCAGCCGAAAAGAGTTTGGTTGAAGAAAGGGAAAGCCTTTGAGAAATGGTTTTCACTTTCCTTCTTTTCATAAAAACATGTCGCTATTTGACATTTCCTGAAACCTCTACTGCAGCAGCTACAACATAAAATTTTAGGCCATGCACATTTCTATTTTCCCTTCTTTAAGTATCCGAACATATTCGGCCGTTCACCTCTATCCGCTTTTGGGAAAACAAATGTGGCCTTCTCCATGTTTGGACCTGAGAAAATCCAGTAATGAGGAAAGGAAATGACATTACGGGGATCCTTGAGACCGTCACGTCAGTCCGAGAGTGGTGCATGGGAACGATGCAATGGGAGATGACATTCCTTGAGGCCAAATTTTTCACAGAGGAAATGGGTGCTGATCGTGAAGACGTGAATCCTTTAATTCTAAACTACTTTTTTGCTGCTGTTTTCACGACAGAATAAGATGACGTACCGACATCATACTGCGTAAGTCATCGCATTCCATCGTGCGGTCCTCGATCGCTTCCTTAGTGGAGTCGTGTCAGTTTCCACGTTTTATTCTTCTCCCGCTAGAAATAGCATTATACTTTGATTAGAGTAATCCCTTGATGACTACAATGAAATGTGTTTTTAATGATGGTTTCATTTGGAATGGAAATAGATGCTCATTTTTAAATGCTACTTTCATCCATTACAGACTCTGCCACGTGTCATCCGTGATAGTACATCAAAGAAACATTCATGATGAAGACCTCCTGTCAAATAAATGTCTCAAATGCTTAAGGCGAGTAAATGAATGTTATCAGCGCCTAATAGTGAGGAACATGTTCCCAAGAATGCAATGAATAGAAAAGGAAGGGAAAACCATTTTACAGGACATATATATATTTCCCTATTTGTGCATAATTTCCACTTCACCAAATGAAATATTGATATATTTCAATGTAGACAAACAACATTAAGATTTGCAATCTATATTGAGAATTTTGGCACGGTAGATAATTGAAATATTACATGCTTTGTCCGATTTTTCGAGACCATGTGGATACGAGAAGTCCCTTTTCATTTCTTCAGGTGGGAAATAAAAGAAGAAATTTTCAAATATAATTCACTTCTAAATTCAACGACCAATTCATGGAAACAAATGAGAACGTACGTGGTATGAATCGGGAAAATGAATGGAACAGAAGAGTGGGGAAGTGGGGTTGACATCTAAAATTCCCTGGACTTTACACTTGCAGTGAATATCACACAGACATGAATGCTTCTTCCAAAATCAATAATCAATTAGAAACGGTCAAATAATGCAAGGTCGAATCCAGCTTTCCCGTTTTCCTTTCATGTTGGACAATTAATTATAGACTGTCAGATTTTCCAAAGAAACCTCTCCGTTCTAGCTCGACTTCTTTCTCGAATCTTCTTCAAGATCCAGGTCTGTCCGGGCCAAGCGAAGGAAAGGGAAAGAAAGTTAATGCATTCCTCAGATAGTTTAGAGTTTCGAATCGTGACAATGTACGACCATAAATATTGCACAAACTCACCCACGAGAATCGCTCGTCGGTTCGGCCTCATCGTGTCACGCCGTGGCTTCCTCCAACCGTATAAGAACAAGTCCAAGATCCATTCCAGCAGCTCCAAAACCGAGACGAATGACATCCCTGTGTAGAGTCCCAGCAAGCCTCCGAACATCCCGACGAAGCTCGACCACTTCCCACGAAAGAGGAGAGACCTCATTTTTTTTGGCGGCAATTTCGGAGTGAGGGCGAAGAGAACTTCATGCCTTTTTTCGACTCACTGGATACAACTGAATCTCCGTGGTTTTTTCCACTGACATGGTTTCGTAGGAGACGTGCACCACAGCCGTCTGTACACTAAAGAAATAAGTCGATGATCAAAACTCTTCAATGTCTTCGGTTGTAAGTGCTGCGTGGTCATCTCGAAAATGGTATTTGGCAGACGACAAGTACAGCATGTACTCGTATACCATCAGTACAGTATTTTATGCGCTAAATTATTTCTAAGGGATCCCTTTACAAAACATGAAAATTTAAGGTGATGCAACTACTTTCACCCACATATTACTTTTTCAGGAAGATACGACAAAGAATATGCAAACTTTGGACGATAGCAGAACTCCGCTCTTTTCAACTCCCAATTGCTCATGTACGCCATATCGTACTTCATCCAAGTCAACAGGTCTATGAACAAGTTGTCGTGACGACCCATCGGCGACGAGGTGAACGACAGCTCCAATCTCCTGTCTCTAAACCACCACCGTGCATCATTTCAGCTGCACATCTTTCACGAATAGACACAGAAACAAGGTGATGCTCACATGCAGCGTTGAGGAGGACAAGAGCTGGAACTTTCCGCATATTTCACCGCCCATGCCAATAAGGCTGGATCTGTGTTCCAGGAAGCAGCATGAAAACAACGCTCAAGTCCTAATGCTTGAAACAAACATTGATGATGAATATAGGGAGGTGCTGTAGCCTTTCGTAACGCTTTTTCAATCGAACCGAGGAGACGAATGGGTGGAAGGGCACGTGGACAAGAAATGTTTTTAGTCAAAGTCTATTACAAGCATCCTTTACGTCCGTCCATTACATGTCAGTGAATAGATCATGTTTCTCTGCAGGTCGTGAGAGTAATGTTTTGTGCAGGCATCTGTATGATTTGTTGTAGTCTGGCGTGATGTTTAATGAACATTGGCACAATGTCCCCTTGGATCTAATGGAATTCGATTGAACATACGCCTCGACTTGATAGCCACATTCTACTCTCTTCCAAAATGATTCGGGCTAACTGATTTTCTCTGCCATCTATTTTTTATTTTTCATTTCACGAATAACTGGACAGTACTAATGAAAGAACCTCAATGTGGTCGACAACTTCGACATGTGGGCTTACTGCAGACCATAGCAAATGGTGATATCACAAGTAGATATAAAGTTATTATCTCGTAAAATTACGTTACATGTTCCAAAATAGTTCGGGCATCGGCACTAATTGCTTCGTGACTTCACCTCTTGACGTGACTAGGGCTTCCAATCGGTCAGGCATACTGGAGACAAATTGGGCACATTAACATAAACGGACCATCGTCATAGTGCAGCTGGCTTTGAACAAAAGTACAGAGCAAGGCATCAACTTTCATTGCAAAAATACTGGCAAGTGGATAATAGGCAAATCTTCTTGACGTCCATGGTAGTCCTTTGTCAGCGAAAATAAAAACCTGTAAACATCCGTCGCCGTGGCCTGATGTCAACTCATATTACAAGACAAGAGTAAAGCCATTGTTAACGTCTAACCTGAAGTAGAAGAGAGAGAAATGGGTGAAAGAGTTCAAGAAATGACTATTGACAGTGTACTGTAGAATCAAGTGGTATGGAGCGACGAATCCACGTTCATCATCTGCCTAGGGGGTCACTGCAAGAGAGTTCTCTTACGAAGGACGAGGCTTTTAATCCCGATGGTTTCATTCCCTGACAGCTTGATAGCGTAGGAATGCACGAGCAGGAAAGGGGTCGACCAGCTGCTGTTCATCGATGGGATAGTTAACAACAAAATATGCATCGAAATATGGGAGATAAAGATGATCCCAACGGTGAAAGAACAACGCCCGGATGTCATACCAGCAAGAGAACTAACCGATGGTTCGGAAACCAACAGATGCAGGTGCTACCATGAAAAGTCAGCATTACAGATATGTCGCCGATTGAGATAACGGATTAATTTTGAAGTTTGGAATCAGAAAGCGACGACCTAGAACCGATGAGGGATTGCATGCAACCCTGCAGGAATTTTGGTCACCATCACTTCAGACAACTGTGCGCATCTTGTATGCCTGACCGATTGGAAGTCCTAGTCACTTCAAGAGGTGAAGTCACGAAGCATTAGCGTCGAAGCCCGGAACGTGCGATATGCTGCCAGAACGATTTTGTGACGTTAATTAAAGAGTTGATCTGTGTGTTTCTGTTGTTCTATCTGTTTGTGATATCGCCATTTCCTTTAGTCTGCAGTTAGCCCACATGTCAAAGTTGTCGACCATATTGAGGGTCTTTCATTACTAGTGTCCAGTTATTTGTGAAATAAAAAAATAGTTGGCAAAGAAATGCAGCTTACACGAATCATTTAGAAATGTAGAAAGCACATCCCCTCCATTCCGCGTTAAAACAATACAATAACAAGTTAATTGTCATGCCAACGTCCTCACCTATATCACAATTCTCGTCGTAATCCACTTCAGGGATATCCAGAATTTTGCGGTGATCCGTCATGACCAGGCAATCGAGCGAGATGTTGTAGTCATCCATCAGTAGAGTTGAAACATACAAGTCCTGGCACAACTGATCCAACAAATAGGACTTACTAACAAGGAGGCAAACCGACTTCGAAGGAAGCTTATGTCTTTACCTGCTTGGAGTAAGCTGTACTATTAGTGATATGAAAGACATCCGGGTCGAATCGCTGCAGAAGGTAAGTATCTTGGGCGCAATTCCCACCTTGGTCTGGGGGAATTCTTTCGAACTCCACCATCTTCAGGCCAATATGGGAAATCTCTCCCAGGTTTGCGTTGAATCCTTCATCGATCGTATAGTTGATATCCTGGGGTTTCCGAATGAAGAGTCTGTATCCCATGACCAAAACAGGCTGAACTTCCAGATAATACGGGGCCAGTGCGAGGCGAAGACCATCCTGCTCGAATTAAGATGAAAAAAATATCTCGTCAATTTCCCTACTCTAGGTGAAATCCGTGAAAGTGGTCGTACCCAACCGGAGTTGTTCGAAGTGGTTTCAGGATGTGAGATATGCCGAGCGTCTTTGTCACGGCGGTAATTGAAGGTAAGGCAATCTCCAAGAACTTTATTTTTCTCAGGTGAGAAATCGCTATGATAAAGAAGAGAAAATACAGATTTTGTTGCAAAGAATGTAAATTGCCGAATTGAAAGTCGTGGTCTCTTTTTCCAGTGCGTAAAACGAAAGGGCAAAAATGATTTTTTCTTTTAAATGGAAAACCTGAAATAAAAAATGAGCTGGACGATTCTGAGATCATGTTAATTTTTGGATGTCCGATGAGATATCTCCGTATTCCACCAAATCGATCGGTCACTGCAAACCAATGTTTCAATTTCAGCTCATCCTATGAATTCAGCACAATGATGTCTTCTACATTAAAGGTCCAGACAACGAAACTAATGCCGAAGAAACCATGAATCTGACAATACACAGGCATGATATCCGGCAACACTGGAGGACGAGACCGGAGCTAGCACTCTAGGCCAGATGCACCACAGCTCATATCATTCTTTTAAATGGAGGAATGGTGCATGCAAGAAACAAAAGAGACATGTTTCGTCATTACTTGTCAATTTCTTTCCATGGTTGGTCTCTTTTCTCCGAGAACCCACCCGGGGAATTGTTATTCAAAGGGGTGGGGGGGGGGGGGAGACAAGGAAAACCAGAATGAATGTCACATCTTCCAAAATCGAGATTCAATGATCTCCACATCCCCGGGGAGATGGACCATCAAATGCTGAAGCAATCCTGTGTTCTGAGCAGAAAAAGAACGCCAAAGGAGAAAGTCCAATTACGGCCCATAAACCAAGTTAAAGAAATGTGTATATTTCGAGCGGACGTCCTTCGTGGAACCTAAAAATTGAATTTTTTTTCCAGATTTAAGCAATTTAAAAGGGTTGGGCAAGGTTAAGGTTAGTTTAAGGTTAGGTTAGTTTAAGGTTAGGTTAGTTTAAGGTTAGGTTAGTTTAAGGTTAGGTTAGTTTAAGGATACTTTAAAGTTAAGTTAAGGATAGTTTAAGGTTAATTTAGGTTAAGGATAGGTTAGGTTAGCCCATTTTTGGCCTTAAACCGACGTTGATGAAACTAATTTTTAAGTCATCTGTTTCACTTAAGAACATGAATGATATGATGTTCAAAAAGTTTGGTCAGTTTAGGTCATTTTAAATAGGTATTACTTTTCTGTTTTCAAAATGATTTCCTATGAATGCCTTCTGCATTGCCAGAAACTTAGAAAGAACAGCACTTTCTAATGAATCGGTGAACTTTAGCTGCTAATCGGAAAATTTAGTAGAAAAGTTTGGATGTATGATTCATGATATATAAGTTATTGATACATAGATGATACAATGTAATATTTTACAAAATACATTTCAACTGTATTTAATTTGTGATTTTTACTCAGTAATCTGTATTTCCTTTTCCTGAAAACCGTTGAAAGTATGTGTTCTGATGAAAAACTCACTCAAAATAACTTCTTCACAACCTACCCGTACCTAACCAGGGGAATCAGGTTGAATTTTGCAGCGAGATGAATTTGAAGAAAGGCAATCAGCGCTACGGTGCCCATTGATCTCAATGTTGTGTCCTCACTTCTCCGTTGACGTCCACGAACACACGTGACGGCTGAAAATCGACTCTCATCAGGTAAGGAATAAAGCATTCTTACGCTTCTCTGCATGGCTCCTCATTGAAGCTGCAATAGAGTATTTTGATGCCTTCAAGATCCACACGTGAGGAAGCATCCAAAAGGAACTTCTTGCCTTGGGGCAGACTGTTGATCTTCGCGAAGCGGTCTCTACAATACTGCAGCAAGTCATCTGAATGGAAGAATGTTCCCCGACATTATACGCGTGAGAAGATCACCATCACGTTCTATTGAGCTGGATTAGCGAATTGGCAATACTCGAGGAGGGTTCAAAGGAAAAGAGCACGTGTTAATTGAGAAAAATAACATTAATTGATTCTTACACTTAAGAAACTTTGCTTTGAACCATGTGGTCAGAATGGAGCAACTATCCACTTAATGCCTCCTTGAGTGGTCCGCTGAGATCGATGAGATTGTCATTTGGGCCAAGTCACGAGAAATGTTTGGTAACACCTTAAAGTACAGATCGTTAGTGTTGGCATACAAAAAATCTCTTAATTACAGGTCTCATCTCATTCTTGAGATAACTAGCCAGATGCGTAGCCATTTTCAATCTTTTTTTTCTCATCACCTGTAGAAACAAATGACAATCGCACTTAAAGGAGCCCAATGAAGCGAAATTACTTCCCACGTAAAAATTATCAAATAATACTCATATTTATAAACAATTATCCACTATTCCTCTTTTCATTTGATCCACAAGTGAAACAATAAGTATGGACGTGTTCACTCTGAAGATCTGAGAAAGGGGCAGCGCAGAATGGCTCCGAGAAGTTGCCTTCCTCAGTTTCGTTCGGAAACGCATACGTCCATGCGGGTATGAATGCGTCATCGGACCTTGACCCTTCTTTGAACAACATTTGAAAATTCTCTCCCATTTGACAACTACTCCCCAAGACCTCTTCAATTGTGCCAAAGAACCCGGAAGTATCGTAGTCCTGGTTCTCAGGTTTTTGATGGCAGATAGTGACGGCTGGGAACGGAATTATTTCTCGCGGTTCCATCTAAATGACAGACGGAGAATCCTTTGGTAACGCTATATGTTCCGACTCTGAGATGAGAGGATCAAACGATGAACCTCTTAATACCTGGGTAGAGGTTGTTATTTTGCCCGTCGTGTATAAAGAGATGATGTCGATGATTCCATAGGACATGTAGGCAGTGGTGATGAGGAATACGAAGAGCCAAAAGAGCTTTCTGAAGAGAGAGGATTCCGGGTACGCAGAACGGCCCAGTGCCTGGAAGAAATCAAAATGTTATGCCTACTCTTTCATGCTTGAATATCAATTTGCAATTATTCGGAAAAAAAAAGTATCCTAATACTCAGAGGAACAAAAGACCTGAATTGGAACGCGATCCTTTCGCAATTCTTCGCAATTGCGTACAACGATATGTCGAATTGTGAAATGAAAGTTGTTCCTGGCAATTAAGTACAAACGATGCTATACTTGGTACCGCATTCTTGCAGACAATCTAGGGAAAGTTGCTACGAAATGACAGGGGCTGGTATAAAATATTGCGTGTTGTAAGTGTTCATTGGTTAAAATTCATGCCCTCGAATTACCTCCAACAAGTTAAGTGAAACAAGTTCGATCAACTTTTTTCCCAGCTTCAAAAAGAATTTGATCTCAGTGGTTTTGCATCGAATACGCTGAACAGTCATAGCCGGACGGATTTCAAAGTAAAATATTTCGGGAATGGATTAACATATTTCCATGTTCCAAAAGCATCTGGAAACAGGAGACTCCGCAGAATTTCTAAGATGCACTATGTTTTTTTTTTTTAATGATGCTAGTCTAATGACCATCACCACTGGCCACACATTATAGCGCACTGACAATCAGTAAGACTGTTTCTAGGGGACCGTGCCTAGCCTCTGATTAACTTGAATCTAAATCGAAATCTGAAATCAGTCGAAAAGATGAAGTCTATTCTTGCCAGTGTCAGTTTCGACTAAGATTTAGATTTAAGTTTAGCAGAGGTGAGGAACGTGCCCAGGAATGGGTTCAATTTCATTTTTTGTTTTCCGTAGGCGTATCGTTTCCATGTTCTTGTCGTGGTTGAAACAGAAATTTGGGCTCATTCTTGGATACTTCTCTCATCCTTCATAGATTCATAATTTACCAAGTGCCATGCGTGATAGTACAATTAAGAAACATTTTCACGATGAAGAGCACCTGCCAATGAATTATGCCATCATTGTGCTGGAAGGACATGCATCTAAAAAAATCATGGATCGGTGAAGATCTTCGTTTTAAGGCATTCTCTGTGAATGCTAGTACTAGTGAACTCGGCATCGAGGCCACTCACGTGTCCCGTGAATCTGTTGAGGAATCTGACGGTGACAGGGCCGACGCCGACCGTTTCCGCGCGGTCGTCTTCGAACTGGATCTCCGCTGGTATTCCCCTCGATCCGTCATCGATCCCCACTTTTCCTCTCATCCTCTTTCCCTCTCTCCCCAGGAACTGAGATCACCAGCTCAATAATGATAGAAACAGTTGAATCGAGTCGACTTTGCTTTGAGGATAGGAGGAGAGCCAAAACACGACAGAGGAGCAACAGTCTTGGTAAAACGAACTGCTTCGGCACCACTTATGTACACAGGTCCTTCCTGTCTGCGCACGCTCGACTTCCCATAGTCCCAACACCTTGGCTTTTCAGCTCGTCGAATTAGATTACTCGTTGGATTGCATGATTTCCGATTTGGGAAAATCGTGATATCGATTGACACGAGATATAGCTCCCATTCGGCACAACAACGTTGTGTCGACGTTGAAAAAAGGTTGATGGCAATGTTGCCTCAATGTTGAGAAAAGGTTGACTTTTCAACGTAACATGTTGCCATGATGTTGCCACAATGACAATGTTGAAATGAAACACAGCTCAACGTTGAAAAGTTGATGCTGTGCGACGTTGTGTCAACGTTGAATTTTCAACGTAAGGGCATAATAGTACATCCTCCCTATTCCAGGGTTTGAATGAGCTTTGATTGTCGGATGAAATTGAAAATGAACTCGATAACTCGATAGATGGTTCCCAAGAGGTATGATGACGTACTCCATCGGGTACAATCACCCCACGTAAAGGACCCTTAGAGTTTCATTTCCTCTACTGAATGAGAATTTACATTAAGTACTTGCATGACTCAAATACCTCTCGCTCACAGTAGAGGAAAACATGGTTTTTTTGGTTTTTATACTCTATCCATCATAGATGGGTCTGAGTGAGGGCGCGTGGCATGTGGAGATTTAGGAAAATTGAGCGTGTCTTTTCGGACCCACTAGCCGGGAGTAATTTCGGTCTCCTTCTGCCTGATTACCTCCTTAAACATGTCTATCTAGGAATTCCTATACCTTCCCCTATGCTGTAAATAACCAATTCAGCGGTCGTCTTCGAACTGTCTTCTCCGCTGGTATTCCCCTCGATCCGTGATCGATCCCCACTTTTCCTCTCATCCTCTTCCCCTATGCTGTAAATGGGAAAAGATTGGGTACTGTGTGAAAAACGCAGGGTACTGGTTATTTAAAGGCATCAGGATAAGAATCGCGGAATCGGCGATTATGTGCCATCTCGCGTCGATTCGTAGAACCAAATTTTAGTTGATATGATGTGGATAACTCCGCGTAAAAACAACATTAAAAATACGATTTCTTTTTTTAAATTTGCTCCTAATAGACTCTGAACGGCTTCCCTAATTCACGAGAAGTCACCAAATGCTGAAAATACGGTTAATTATGAATAGCTAGCATTTCACTGATGTTGATTTTTCGTCAACATCAACCAAGTCTCAACGTTTCAACCTATTCTCAATGTTGATACAACGTTGTTGTGCCGAACGGGAGATATACTGTGCACTCCATGCGTCCGTTACTCTGTCAGCAGACTCTCGGCAAGTTGATTTGTTGAGAATTGATAACAGCCAATTTGGATGCAATAGAGATTTTTCCCTCGTCGATCGTCTTGGGCTTGGGAACAAACAAGATGTTCGAATCTATCAGAGTTGGTCATTTCATGATGCGTTGTCGATGGCGCTGATTGTGTCTTCATCGATCGGGAAAAGGCAATTCTTAGGAATTGCCCTGCTCGGTTATCCAAAACAGTCGCCATTCCATCGCATCCATGCAGATTTTCGCTCCCCGATGCTTCTTTTACTTCCGGGGCGAGGTGACGGAAGAGGTGACGGGCAATCGCTGTTCAAAAATGAAGGCGACTCCAACTATTGAATTCTTGTTCGCAAATGCTCATCGCGTGATCATCGCGGAAATTGCTGGTGAGTCATCCTGCCCAGCGTGAAGACGCAAGGCCTTTCATCGATTTTTCCATCAGTTCATCAGACTTCGTCGACTCGGTCGTCGTGGCCTTCCAGCGTCTTCAAACATTCATTAGGAATTAAATAATTATTATAAGATGATATGGAAGACATCCTTTCATCGCGGGTTTGTTAGGCAGAAGAGAAACAAATGGAGACCGAAGATCGATAGTCAAAGTAATGCCAAATAAATGCACAATATTTCTTGGAAACATTCGTAATTAATTATTGTCTTACTTTTCGCGCGTGCGACGAGGATACAGAACGGTCACAGTGTTCCCAAGAAGTTTGGACGAGAAGCATCGGCAATGGAACGGATTCCGAATCGACTTTCTTCTACAAATGTTTCCGAGAATTCATCAAACGAATGTGGTGGAGAATATTTGTTCCACTTTGAAATGAGACTAGTCTCAATTTCTCAACATGCTCTGCGCATGCGCTGATGAATTGCCTGGATGAGCTCGCATAAGCCATTTGATTAGTGGAGAATTCCAAGATTCTTCGACGTGATACCAAACGCTTTTTTCCATCTCGACAAGGGAGCTATGCGGGGGATCGGACGGGGACGGTCATCTCAAAAATTGATTCGGGAATGATACAATTGACGATCCGTGGATCCTTCTTTGAGACTAGAGTCTGGTTTTAAGCATATTTCTCGTAGTCATTCGCAAAGAGGGGGCTCGAGGAGTCTGGTCAAAAGTTGAAGTTTGTTCTCTCCGTTCCCAGGCCACAATTACCCAGGATGTCATTGGTTTGTGCTGCCGCTTTCGTCGAATGGATCCCGGGAATTCAAATGCCTCCGGAGCGATCTTTGGAGAAAATATTATGTTCCGTACCGAAAGTGCTACGTACGCGTGACAGTAGCATAAGCTAACACCCATTGTCAGCGATTTGGCGTGACGCGGATGTCCAGAGTTAAATCATGTAAATTGGCATAGTAGTAGATACGGTTTTTTTTTTTTACTAAGGAAAGGAGAGATTCGTTATGAACTGTCTCACGGTTATAGCAAAATCGTGGATATTTTCTTGTCTTTTTTTGCATTGAACTTGCAACTCTTAAGTTCAATGAAATGAGGGGTTTTCAACAAAGTTTATTAAATCAATCCGACTACAAGATATGGGAGGAGTAACTTCTTTGCTTCGAAATGAGAGCCTACTCCTTGTTTGGAACTGAAAAAATCCACAGTCTGAGGAAAAGCGGTGACATTAAGGGGGATCCTCGAGAATTGCATTTTGCCAAGTCAGTCTGCATCTGACAGGTTTAGTAGAAGATGGCACTGGATGAGTCTAAAGTTTGTTCGCGGTGCTTCACATCGAGAAAATGGGTGCTGATCGTAAAAACGAGAATCGTTTAATTCTCTAACATGTCTTTCGCGCTGTTTTCACTTGAGAATAAGGTGAAACACCGACAACATGCTAGGTACATTATCGCGGTCCTCAACTGAAGCCTGAGTGGAGTTGTGTCTTTTCAAAAAATTGTATTGTTTTCTCGCTTGAAATTGCATTTGCCTGAAGTGAGGCCTTCATGTCGACCTGCAAACGTGTCTTCAATAACGGTCGTTATCCTCTTGAATGGATATGGATTCTTGGATGCATCTTGATTGAGCGATGAATTCAGCATCAAATAAATGTCTCAAAAGCCTGCCTCAAGTACGTGAGTGTCATCAACCCGATCAATTCCTCAACGACTTTGCTCATCGTCTCTAAAGATAAGTTAATGCGGTGATTGTTCATTATTTGCAATGAATGTTTTGTTTGAACTGCGTTTGTTCACGGTTCTTCACATCGAGGAAATGGGTGCCGATCGTAAAGACGTGAATCGAATAACACTAAACCACATCTTTGTCGCTGTTTTCACTTGAGAATAAGGTGAAATACCGACAACATAATGGGTACGTTATCGCATTCCATTGTGCGCTCCTCGAATGAATCCCTAGTGGAGTCATGTTAGTTTCCACTTATTATTTTCCTCTCTCGCTTGAATTAGCTTTTGCCTGAAGTGAGGCCTTAATGATTAGCTTGAAACGTGTTTTAGAGAACGGTCGTGATCCTCAGGAATGGAAATTCATGCTCATTCTTGGATATTTATTTCATCCCCGACAGTCACTTAATCTCCCGAGTGTCATCTGTGATAGTACAGATAAGAAACATTCATGATGAAGAGCACCTGGCATTGAATTTTACAGAGTGCTTGAAGGAAATGTATCTAAACCTCATGGACCGGTGAAGATCTTTATTTTAAGACATTCTTCCCGAATTCTCGTACCGACCGATGAAATCAGCATCGAGGCCACACACGTGTCCTGTGAATCTATTGAGGAATCTGACGATGAAAGGGCCGACACCGACCAATTCAGCGGTCGTCTTCGAACTGTCTTCTCCGCTGGTATTCCCCTCGATCCGTGATCGATCCCCACTTTTCCTCTCATCCTCTTCCCCTCTCTCCCCAGGAACTGAGATAACCAGCTGAATAATGATAGTCAGTTCAATCGAGTCGAGTTTGGTTGAGGTTAGGAGGAAAGGCAAAACAAGGCAGAGGAGCTGCAGTCTTCGTAATATGAATTGCTTCGGTACCACTTATATACACAGGATCTTCCTGTCTGCGCACGCTCGACTTCCCAAAGTCTCATGACATTAGCACTTCCGTTCATCGAATTAGATTACTCATTGGATTGCATGATTTGCCAGTTGGGAAAATCTTGAAAGCGGAAAATCATGAAATCGAATGACACAAAATACAGCCACACAGTGCATTTCTAGTAGCAGTTACTCTGTCAGCAGACTCTCTGTAATGTTATTTTTTGAGAATTAATAACTCTGGACTTGGATGCAGATATTCCCTCGTCGATCGGCTTGGACTAGGGGAAGAAACCAGATTCTCGAATCTATCCGAGTTGGTCATTTCATGATACGAAGTCGTAAGGACTCATGGTTTTTTTCATCGAACGGAAAATGCAATTCTTAGGAATTGCCCTGCTTTGTCGCTCAAAACAGTCGTCATTCCATCGCTTCCACGTCGGCAATGCATATTTTTGCTTGCTGATGCTCCCTTTACTTTAGGGACATTGTCTCCTTGTGTTGAGATAGGAATTAAATGGATAACTAAGAGGCCTTCTTGCAAGAGGTGACGCACAATCGTTTAAAAGCTTCCCTGAAGACGGCGATTCAATGAAGGCGACTGCAAATGTTGAATCCTGGTTTGCAAATGGTGATCGCGTGATTATTACGGAAATTGCTGGTGAGGCTTCCTGCCCAGCATCAAGGCACAAAGGCAGTTCATCGATTTTTCCATTCGCTCATCAGACTTCATCGACTCAGCTGTCATGGCCTTCCTTTGCATTCGACGGTGGAAGTTCCTTTGTGAGACTGTTTTCCCATGTGTCAAGAGCGTCTTCGAGACCTTCCAGCATCATCAAAGATTCATAAGGAATTAAATAGTCATCATAATCCATGACATGACATCCTTTCGTCAGCGGTTGTAAGGTAGGGCAGTAGGGAAACAAATGGACACCGAAGATCGATTGTTAAAGTGATTCCAAATAAATTCCCAGTGTTTCTTGGAAATTTTCGCAATTATTATTGCCTTGCGTTTTCAACGAGGATGAAAAGCAGTCACAATGCTCACAAGATGTTTGGGCGAGAAGCATTCACAATGGAACGAATTCGGACTCGGTTTTCTTCGACAAATGTTTCCAAGAATTCATTAAGCGAATGTGGTGCAGAATATTTTCTCATGATGGGCTCTGTGGATGAGCTCCCTTAAGCCATTTGATGACTGAAGTATTCCAAGATTCGTCGGTTTGATTCCATCCCTTTTTTCCATCTCGACAAGA